ATTAAAGGGATCCTTAACTCATAGAATTTGACAGACTTTGATTTGCATCATTAGAATTAAATTTATGAGCTCAGCGTTCCAAGTCGGTAGCCTTTTCAAAATGGGGAGCAAAAATGAGGAGGGTATACAAATGCGAAACTAAAAATTAGATCTAAAATTACGCAAAATTCACATTGAAGTTTATTTTAATTATTTCCCACAGTTTTTGAAAGGATCTCAGACAGATTTCTCTTCTTCGTTAAGCAATGTAATTCTGCACCTTTCGGCCAGAATTTTTGTGATTTTAATAGAAAAACAAAATACAAAGAAAAGCAATGAAAATTTTATAAGAATGAACATATTGTGAAAGCGCAAAACTGGAATGTAAATTCTTTAAATTTAGTAAATATAAGCAAAACTGAAGAGACTTTAAAATTTCATATATTTAAAATATGATTCTAAAAAATATTCGGTTTTTGATGACACTATATGTAAAATATATATACAAACATATACAGTATTTATGCGCCTACTTCTCCATCTCTCGCGTATGGTGCATGGGGCAAAACAGGTTGAAAACCACTGGTTTAGAAACTTCTTATTTATGTCAAAAATGTCAAAAATCCTCGAAAAAAAGAAAGTATTTTTTAAAGTGAAAATAATATTATTGAAACTTATATATTCTTTGAAATACATAATTTAATAATATTAGCGTACGGGGCTTTTTAATATACTACCTTTATCATTTTAGCCGTCTTTTCAGAAATAAGGCGCACTGCCTTCCTTTTGGTTACAAAGTGTAAAATTAGCAGAAAAAGGCGAAAACTGCGAGAGTCATGTAATCTCAGGAGTTAGCTACATCTAATGTACTTTTAGGCTTTAGTTAATTTTTAACTTTCCTTTTCAATCTATATGCATGTATATTATATATATATATATATATATATATTAATTTAATAAATATTCTCTATTCGTATAAAATAAATATAAAATTCTCTATTCGTATAAAGAGAAAAGAAAATTAATTTTTAAAATTTAATTAAGAAATTTTAATTGCAAAGAAATAAAAAATAATTATTATTGCTGCGAACTAATTTACAATATTTTTTTAATTCTAAGAGCATACGTAAATTAATTCTACTTATCAAAAACCAAGAAAAAATATATTATTCCAAAAAATTAAACTTAGTATTATTCTTAAAAATTGCATAAGTAAATAATTGTTGAGCAGGCAGGAGATAGATTTATCAAGCGGAAGTTGCCCCCATGCCTAACTTTTAATTGCGCGATTTGTGTTTCGTCATCCATATAGGCAAGGGTAAAAGTAAAATTCAAAACCAAAAGCAACATCAAACGTTATGAATTACAAAAAAAAGAAATTTAAACAGGGAAATTTTGGGAAAAATAAATGACTAGAGTTAAAATTAAATTAATTAAAAGTCAATTAAGAGTAGAAAACCAATTTTTTAGAAAACCAAAGTAATTTAGAAATTCTTTAGTAAACCAAAGTAAGTTAGAAGCTCTTGCCTGCAGGAAACTTTCCCTACACGAATTATGCATGTAAACCTAAAATAAACTATATAGAATTAAAATAAAAATAATAAAAAGCAGGTAAATAGCAAGTTTTAATTTAACTTACCTAATTATATATTTGAATTTCTGAGCAGTACCAGCATTTGTTAAACAAGCTGAGTTGAGTAGTTTGTACTGCTAACTGTAAAAATAGAGGTCACTAATACAATGCAAAGTTGAGTGTAAAGCTGCTACCTGTGAGAGCTACTGTAAAAACCATGTTGTAAATCCCAAAATGTAAAAAGTAAACTGCTTGTTAGTGCGCAAAATGTTGCCAACTATGAGTCATAATAAAATGTCTAAAAGCGGAAATATTTAAGAAATGCACTGCTAATGTTTGTGAAAATAGATGCTGCAAACATTAAAAATGTAAAGATTAATTAGTAATTGAAATTTTTTTAGAATAAATTAAAATTTAAAGTTTGAATAAACATTTAAATTGAATTAATTTAATATGGAATTTTAATTAGATAATTACAGAATTGAAATAGAGAATTATTGCAATAAGAAATTTTTTTGTACTTAGACTGCATTATTTAAAACTGAATTTACAAGTTCAATCAAAACTTAACTTAAAACTGGCCAAAGGTAAGGAAAATTAGAAAAATTAGATAAAAATCTTCACTCAATTCGGGGCTATAATTGAGACTTTTGAAAAGAGTTGGTCCTTCATTAGTAAAGAAAAGAATCCAGTATTGATAAAATATACAATTTTATAAATATTTACAAGTAATAACCTAACTCTTCAGAATCCTCCATTAACCTCCAGTTAAGGTTTAAGGTAATATTATCATACCATAAAGAGTTAAAAAATTAAAAAGAAAAGTTAATGCCTGCCTTTTTAAAATAGAATTTAATAAAATTTTTTGGAACTTGGTTATTAACTTGAATATTAATTATTTTTATTATTTCTTCCTATAAAACTTCTATTTCAGTACATATATTTTTAATTCTAATTATTTGGCTATAAAAAGTGTTACCTATTACTTTAAAGGAAGAAATAATAAAACTAATTAATATTCAAGTTAATAACCATGTCCCAAAAAATTTTATTAAATTCTACATTAAAAAGGCAGGCATTAACTTTTCTTTTTAATTTTTTACCTCTTTATGGTATGATAATATTACCTTAAATCTTAAATGGAGGATAATAGAGGATTTTGAAGAGTTAAGGTAGTACTTGTAAATATTTATAAAAATGTATATTTTATCAGTACTGGATTCTTTTCTTTTACTAATGAAGGGCCAACTCTTTTCAAAAGTCTCAATTATATAGCCCGAATTGAGTGAAGATTTTTATCTAATTTTCTAATTTCCTTACCTTTGGAAAGTTTTTAAGTTAAGTTTTGATTGAACTTGTAACTTCAGTTTTAAATAATGCAGTCTAGTACAAAAAATTTCTTATAATAATTCTCTATTTCAATTCGTAAATTTTCTTTTCCATTCTAATTCAATTTAAATTTATTCAATTAATTTATTTATTCGAAACCAATTAAATTAATTTACTAAAAAAAATGTTTTCAAAAAATTTTACTCTTTACTTGTTTGCAACACCTACTTTTACAAACAGTAGCGTGCTTTTTTTACATATTTTTGCTTTTACACATTTTACAATGATTCATAGTTGGCAACATTTTGGACACTAACGAGCATTTTACTTTTTACATTTTTTGGATTCACAACATGGTTTTTACAATAGTTTTTACAGATAGCAGCTTTTCACTCAACTTTACATTGAATTAGAGACCTCTATTTTTACAATTAGCAGTACAAACTACTCAACTCAGCTTGTTTAGCAAATGCTGGTACTGCTCAGAAATTCAAATATATAACTAGGTAAGTTAAATTAAAACTTGCTATTTACCTGCCTTTTTATTATTTTTATTTTAATTGTTGTATATAGTTTATTTTAGGTTTACATGCATAATTCGTGTAGGGGAGTTTCCTGTAGGCAAGAGATTCTAAATTAGTTTGGTATTCTAAAAAATTGGTTTTCTACTCTTAATTGACTTTTAATTAATTTAATTTTAACTCTAGTCATTTACTTTTCTCAAAATTCCACTGTTTAAATTTCTTTTTTTTGTAATTCCCATCTTCTGATGTGAATCCCATGATTTTACTTTTGGTTTTGAATTTTACTTTTACCCGTGCTTATTTGGATGACGAAAGACGAATTGAGTAATTGAAGAGTTAGGTATGGGGGCAACTTTCCCTTGATAAGTCTGTCTCCTGCCTGCTCCACAGTTATTCACTTATGCAATTTTTAGGAATAATAAATTTAATTTATCGGAATAATATACTTTTTCATGGTTTTAGATAAGTTCATTTAATTTACATATGCTCTTAGAATTTAAATGAATAAATTAGTTCGCAGCTATAATAATTATTTTTATTTTTATTTCTTTGCAATTAAAATTTCTGAATTAAATTTTTAAAATTAATTTATTTTTGCTTTATACGTATAGAGAACTTTATATTTACTTTATACGAATAGAGAACATTTGTTAAATTCAAATTTCATTCCTTGCAGCAATGGCGCAAGAGAATTATTTAAATTTAATTTAACCTTACTATTTTCTTGTGAAATATATAACATATATATATATATATATGTAAGAAAAATAAAAAATATGTAAAAGATTAAATTAGCAACGTAAATTGCCCTTCTCAATTCTAAAAATGGTAACCTCTTTCTGCACTGCGTCATTTCTAGATTAATCCATGTCATATGACTTTTACATATTTCAGGTGATGTAAATGGAACTAAAACTCTAGCAGCCAATAGTAATTTTACAGTAACATTAACTATCGAATCTAAATGAATTGAGAACCGAAACTAACTCAGCATGAATTAAGATTTCACCTTGAACATAATGCACATGCTTTAAATCTTTGGCCTAGCTAGACTGCTGTGTGTCTGCTGCTTCTTTCTTGCTGCAAAGTTATCAAAAATGTTAGCTTTTTAGAATAGGCACAATTAATGTGCCAACTTGTTTGTGGCCGCAACATGCTTTCTGAAATAAAAAATGAAGATTTAATCTTCCTTCGCCTCTTCCTTCGTGAATTTCCTATTCACTATGAATCAACACATCTGTGCCATCAAAATTTCTGCTAGTCGTTACTTCTAAGTTTGTTTTTATTACATATATATAGTATATATGTATGTATCTGAAATTAAAAAAGGAGGGGAAAGAAGAATAAGAAGAAAATTTAATGTAAAAATTGTTCACATGACAGAGTAAACATGTAAAAATGGGGATGGTTCCTACGCTATGCATTTGAGTTCATAATAAAAAAATTTCAATACTTAATTAATTCTCAAATTTAAAAATCATATTATTCTTTGGATTTCATTGAAAATACTTTTGTATCAGGATGGGATCATTCAAAAATAACTATAAGTAACCTGTTATAAATACAATGATTGTTGCTGCTTATGTAGGATTACTATGGATGATCGTGCCATAGATGCAATTTTCTTGGGATGTCTAGAAAATCTTCCTCCAGTGAGTTCCAAAATAGTTCGGATTTTCACAAGTTCCACTTTTACAGGTATTTACCATATTTCATTTTTCTTATCGTAGGCAATAACACAGGTTTTGTTAAAGTTAAATTTATATATTTCATTCCTTCTTAGATCATTTACTATTTATTTGCTTAATTGAGTGCGGTAAAGCACACGAAGGCTGTTTCTGTAAGGAAAGAGATGTCTATGTGTGTTCGTAATGGTCCTTCTGAGGAAAATAAACAAATTTGCAATACGTTTGGCAAAAACCACAAAAGCTCATGTAACCAGCCTTTCGGCTAAGAATCAGCTTCTTTTGGATTACCAGTGCTCAGCCATGTCATCAACTCGGCACTCAGAGGGATCTTTCATTTCTAAAAGTCATATCTAGAAAATATTAAGAGATTTAAAAGTTGCAGGTATAGAAATGAAAAGAAAAATATTTTATTCCACAAAATTGATAGTGCTCTAAAAGAATTATGTAAGATTGTGGCACATGAAGAAAAGCCCATTAGTGAAACAGTGTCTTTGACAGAAAAAGTTATGTTTGGACATAAATTATAAAACATAAATTATTTTACATAATTGTATACAGAATAAGTATATATAACTGAGGAACGAAACTTATTTTATATGTAGCTTATTTCTATGTTTCCTTCACATTTTTATTCCAATTTATTTAAATTGTTGTTTTAACAGTTGATCATTCTTGAATATAAAAAGCATACCAGAGTACAGGCTGTTCAGTTTTAATGGTCTACTGCTTATATAATACATGTATTATTCTGTAAAATCATTAGGTTATTTTGAAGCAGGAAATGGGAAAAATGGGTAATGCTCTCGCCGGGACTCGAACATGGATCTCTTGAATACACGACCGAGTGTGCTTACCGTTGAAGACGTGCTGGAAAGAGGGAGAAAATACCTTATAATATTCGGATAATTAACGTTAATGCATTTTTTATACATATATATGACAATAATATCGAAACTAAACAATAACTAAATTTATTCTGTATGTATTCTTTCACAGTTAATCCTAAAGTAATTAAGCTTCTGTAACTGCACACTTTTTTGTACTACCAAAATTTTATATACGAGTAGAATGCGAATGACAAGGAATAGATATTCATCCGCCACTGATGCGACTTTATTTAGTTTGAATTTCACATAAAAACAATAGCAAATACTACCTTACTTACTGGTATATTTTTAGCATAATTTTCTCATATAGCTCACAAAAGTTTGATTTACAATATTAAATTAAAAGTTATGAACATATGGAAATAACATTATAAAGCAAAACACACATGAGTAACATGTTAGATCTGCACGTAACTGAATTTTTAACGCGTTAATCAATTATAATGTATTGCATTAAAGAATAATATTATTTTAGTTAATAACAATCAATTTCTATTCTCCAAGATATGTCAATGGAGAGAAATGCGCTCATGGAAGAAGTTTATCCTCGAATCAAGGATTTCTGTCGGGAAAAACATGGCCTTGAATTTCAGGTATTCTAATATTTATATTTGAATTTTTTCTTTAATTCTTATTACCGAATACAAAAGAAATGCTAACAGTCTCTTTTTGATATACATCCGGACACATACTTGTGATATTTTACTTGATATGGAACTGATAATTAATCCAATAACTCCAGACGTTAAGCAAATTGTCGTTATGTCAGAAGTAACTAAAAAGTCGTGAGAAGGTTTAAATAAGCTTCTCATTTAAACATACTTTACAACATAAATGCTCTCTTTGGTGTTACAATATCAGCCACAGCTCGTCTGATATAACTAAGCAAAACAGTCAAATTTAAATGAAACGTAGAACAGTAGTCACAACTAAATATTGCTATAACCTGGCTTAGTAATTCTACGGGAGCATCAGAATCAAAATGTCAGCAGCGCTATAACGCAAAGCTGAATCATTACAACTATCCGAGCAGGCAGGAACTAACACGTAATGTGCATGCGAAGGCAGAAACATGTTATGTTTTAAAATTCAAAATCCTCAGTTTAAATATTAGTTATCTCATTTGCATTCTGGTGAGGAAAACGGAAAGGAAAGAATGTAGTAAAAGCTGAAATGATACATAAATGGTTAAATAAAATAATAATGTTATACATTTTATAAAACTGGACAAAAAAAGGAGTGTCTCTCTCTTCAAATAAAAGCAATCAATATAACTATTTAAAAAGAACTATTATGGAAGAACTACAGTTTTTTAATATCCTAGAGCATTTTTATAAAATTTCATGACTTATGAATGTATTAAGATACTATAACGGTGCTCATTAAACATGGTTCCCAGATAAGTAATGAAGCAGAAGTTTAAGAAGTTTGCGGAGTTTTTCAAAACCGAAATGTTTATGATAATAATCACATCAGACATAATGATTGTAATTTCAGTATTTGACATTTTATATAGCTCTTCTAAAGAAAAAAGTCGTACTTATGTTTATGCTTTCGTACTACGTTAAATGCTACGAGTGTTTTTTTTTACTTGCAGAGTTCAAGGCAGATGTAGGAAAATGAATTTACTGTCTTAGATACATAATTTCAACAATAATTAACTTCTAATAGCCTAAATTTTGTACGCTAATATTCGCGTTAGATACTGCAAAGGCTCCAGTGTGTGTGTGTGCAAGTATTGTCCAAATATCTAATTTTTGTTATTTTAAGTATTTAGATTTTTAACGTCATGCATTTAATTTTTTTATAATTAATTCTCGTAGCATTTAAAAAATCTCCAATTTTTATAATTTAAATATTTTTATACAATTTAACTTCGTCATTTTTTAAAATACAAGAATAGCAAGCTGTGAATTTATTTCCCAACTATGGCAATGCCTTGATCTTTTGCTACTCTACCTCTAATTTTTATAATTAAAATTATTTATACAATTTGGTTTCGTTTCTTTCTTAATTATCGTTAAAAAATGCATTTTTGCATGTCTTCATTTTAGAAACAATTTACGGATGTTTTTAATACTTCATTTTAAGGCATTTTTATTAGAAAATTTCAATCTTCCTCAAAATGTCTAGCTCGGGTATTAATGTTTTTCACACAGAATTTGTTTTCATTATTATTTCGGACATTTAACTTTTATTAAAAAAGAATGTAAAACTCCAGTTTGAAAGTCTGCGGTTATAATTAATAGGAGATTCTGAAATTATAAAATAGTTCATTTTAACACATCTTTTTAATTCCTTATTTGTTTTATATGCTTTCTTATCAAAAAATTAGATTTCCTTTTTTGTTACTTTCAAGGTGTTCTCGTACGAATGTTTATTAACTACTTGCGTGTCTACGAAATTTTTTGAAATAATTGTGTAAAATCTTGATATTTTTTTTTACCCAAAGCATTTGCAGATTTATTTAGCAAAACTTTTTGCAGCACAATTCATACAAACTTTCACGTGCATGAAATGAAAATGGATCTTTTACTATATGAAATTATTATTACTCTGCTAAAATGAGTGACAGCAGCATCATAATTAGAAGAAAATAGTATTCGTGATATTTTTATAAATCTCTGCACTAAATTTCGTAAATACAAGGACTGAATGACGTAGTAAAACGCTGATGCTAAATTTAACCGCAACAGATGCTAAGACGCCATAAAAATTAAAACATTTGTTTCTTGGTAAAATTTCAACTTTCAGTGGCAGAATTTGTGTCATTCAAGAATATAATAGATGTAGTGGAATCAAATGTAGATGCGATTCTCAACAGATGCAGGCGTAGAAGTATATTGCTGCAAGTTAAAGACATCAAGTCTTTCGAAACCAATTGGGGGGGGCAAAACAATTTTCGTGACATTAATTATTTTAATTTATACATTATATAAAAATGTATTTTGCGTGCGTATTCATGTTAAAGTTTTCAGTTCACAATTATGAGTTTTGATGCTGCTTATGCCACCTCGAATTAAATAATTCGATTTTATTCATTACTTTTGAGAAAAATGGTATATGCGGAAATCATTTGGACATACTGTACAACAGTTATTCAGAACTTCGAGCTTTTGGATGATAGATTCGAGATTTGACCTTTTGGAACTTATGCTGCTACATATTATATATATTTTATTCCCTTACCAGACGAAATTCACCAGAAGTATTTAATTTCAAGGTTTGGATATCTGATTTCCTTAACGAGTTGCTTTAAAGAGTCATTTATTAAAGAAAGTAGAATAATTCGAGGTTGGTAATTTTCTTTTAAATAACTTTCAGTTATATTCTTTATGATTTACTAGCATGTTACATTCTTTAATTTATAACGTTATTGCAATTGATACTCCGAAAGAATTTTCGCAGAATTTATAAGTTTTTGAACAATATAAATAAGTTAATAATATTCTCATGAAATTTTATTACTTTAGAACTATAATCTAATAATCACGTGAAACAAATTCCTTAAACTAAAAATATCTTAATTTTTTAATGTCTGCATATAATATTACAAGTCTGTTGTGTGCCAATCCTGAAGCTTGCGTATTATATTCTAGAACACTAATTCTTTAAGATTTCTTTTTTGAAAAAACTTAAATTGATCGATATTTTTCACAGAAATCTGCGTAAAAACACTCGTCATTTAATCTATTAGCATCAGACACTTCTTTTAAACTGAGAATTTCTTTTTTTACGTATAAATAGAAACATTCACTCTTCAGTTAGTGTATAGCCTTTAGATATGATACCCAGACTCAGAATGAAATATACTTTCGTCGCACGAAAATCACACCTTTTTTTTATTTTATTTGTTATAATGACAATAAATTTTTTTGATTGTAAATATATTGACTAAGCGAAGATATAAAAGGTTAACTATCGTAATATTTACAAGCGTTTTTATTTATTTGAAAATGCAAAACATGATTATTTGCATAATTTAAAATACTTTTATAACTGGAAGTATATGTTTACGAGCAACGGTTGCAGAAATAAAGGCCAGGTAAAGACATTTGTGGATACCGTGCACATACCCCAGAGTTGGCCAAACTTCATGTCAGTAAGAGCCGCACGTTTGAATTCAGGAATGTTCGAGAGCCTAGATTTTCTAAAAGCCACAAGTTCATATTTACATCATTATAGAAGTAGTGGAGGAGGTTTTAAATAGACAGAAATCCCTGATGACTTTGTAAAATGAGTCTAAACTAACTAATTACTTCCTTTTGGACACTGAATAGTTTTAGTTTACCATATTTCATGCATATATTTTATATTCATGAGCCGCACAAATTGCCTGTGAGAGCCGTATCAGGCTCGCGAGCCGCACTTTGGCCACCGCTGACATATGTTAAGACAACGTTGGAAAATTTTACCTGAAGAATAGTTATCTCCATATATTATTTATGTACATTGCAACATGTTTGGGGATATCATTAAATACTAAAGTCATCATTTAGAGGTGGAGTTGGAAGTAGTTGAAATGATTGCGTTTAAGTTACTGCTAATTAAAATATTCACTAACAGAAAGTGCTACAAGAGAACTAATTTGATTGATTTTAAAAATTAAGCAAAGAATTATTATAGCACAGGGATCTTTGTGATTTCACTTTATTTTTTTGGGGGGAGGGGAGGTGGTTATGTCATCTAGTTAGCTCTATAAAAATATCCCATGTTAGCAATTAGTTAAGGAATTTTGAATACAATTGATTTTAAAATTAGAAAGAAAAGCAATTTGAAATGAAAAATGTATAGAATGAAAGTTAAAATTCTCTCATTCATGTTTTCAAACTAAACTATTATCAAACATGCAATGTATATGTATATATCATGTGTAATTAACCGGTTCCAAGATTAAAGTACGTCCTATCACCGATATGCCCCGACGATACGACCCCATTACGAGCATCGCCAGCCAGGACAGAATACATGTGTACTGCTTTATGAGTGTGATGTTTAAATGCACGACCAAGATCTGCTCACCCATAGCCAACTACAGGAGGTTGACCATAGCTCACTTCCCCCTTCCCGCCATGCTGAGAGGCATGGAGGTAGGAAGTTAGTCCTTTCTTACCTCCATGCTGGAAGGCCATGCCATCCGCAGCTTGGTGGCGAGACAGTTATTAGCCGCTCTCCGTCCGACGAAAGTTGCCGCCTCTCATCGTGCCGAGGTGGATCCACAGACGAGATACAGACTAGTATGTATGCATACAGATTAAGCAGCCAAAATAAAAATTACCTAAGTATAAATAAAAATTACCTAAGTAAAATAAAAATTACCTATTAAGTAACAAGTATATTTAATTTCATGGTATAAAGACTCTATGAAAACCTTTCTTGAATATTATATATAATGGTTTATTTATATTTAATGAATTCAAGATACATGCTGCTGCAGTGTATTCTATGAATAACATAAATATATGCTCTCTCAAAAGATATGGACTAAGATGAAACAATATCAGTTTATGGACTCAGAAAATACACGAGTTTTGGAATTACCTTCATCAATTTCAGTTAAAACAATTTCTGTCAGTGTGATCAGAGATTGCAT